CCCCACGCCTTGGCTCCTGCGGCCGGGGCACGTCCCAGCTCAGGCGGAGCGAGCGGGCGACCCGGGAGGATCAATTAGCAGGGAACGAGCTCGCCCGACCCATTTAGGAGCCAGCTGGGTGACCTGGCTTGGCACAGCCCAGCGGGGACTTCGGCGATGGGAGCGAAGCCGACGTCACGGCCGTTTCTTCACCCACTTTTATCGTCCGTGGTCATCGCAGGGACGTGGGCGAGCGAGGAGGAATCCTGCGGGGCCAAACCCGCGGTGCTGCCACCCTGGGGTGTTTCTCCGCCAGGTCCGTGCGGAGGAGAAGGTTTTCCAGGGCCGGGAACGGGCGGTGTCGGTGCTGGCAGAGCGGCGTGGGCGTCTGGGAAGCCGGCAAGGGGGTGACCTGGTTGTGCGGGCGAGGAGTTACCGCGGGTGGGACGGCGAGTGGTTAACCGGGTCGTCTGCTCCGGTTTTGGTAGGTGGTGGTGCTCAGGGCTGCCCCGGCGCGACTCGTGAGCTGGAAGGAACGGGGTCGGGTGCAGCCGGCCCGCGTATGAACAGAACGCCGCGCTAACGAGACGTCGGCCCCAGAACGGCTCTGAAAGAGTTAACGACGGTGGCGTGTCCCGCAGGAACCAGCCCGAGTTCAAAGCCCAACATCAAACGCAGAAATCTCAATGGCAGGAACCGCTCCCGGCGTGAGGCGAGACCGCGCTCCTTCTTGGCCGCCGAACCCCCGTGTCTCCGCGGTGAGGATGAGCAAGCAGCCGTCGGCTCCTTGTCTTCTCCCCCCGTCGGCTTTGCTGGCTGTCGAGAAGAAAAGACCCGCTGCACCGAGGCGGTTTCATCGGTGAAAAGGGAGGGTGCACGTGGAAGAATGACCCGTTGTTCGCTCCGCGGGCGCTGAAGGTCCGGACAACGGCCCCAGTGTCTTTGCTCTCTCGATTAGAGCAGCCTCCTGATATTCTGCTCTTGGGTTTTCGCCTTATTCCCAGGAATGTTCCTCCCGGGAAGGCGGCCGCCTTGCTGGAGCGGGAACGCGGCGTGTGAAGGGTACGGTGGGTGTTTTACCTCCAGGAGGCGGAACGTGGCCTGTAAGCCCACGCCTGGCTTTGAGGAGTCGCGTGAAGACGTTCACAGAGGTCATGGGCAGAAGCAGCAATGAACCCCAACCTTTTCTATCCTGCAGTTTCTTTATCCCCTAATTCCACCCGCGTTGAGCGCGGCGGCGGGGCGTCCCTGGAGCCGTGCTTTCAGAGCAGCGTGGAGGCAGAGCGGGCACAAAACGTCGCTCAGACGCGTTTCCACCGCCTTTCCCCTGCCAGCTCCCCGCTTCCCAAGGCTGGAAAGCGTGCGAAATACTCGCACCCGGCTGCGGCCGCCGGCTGCTTTTACCGGCGCTCTGCGGGCAGCGTTTCCAACCCGGCGCGC